TTAGTATATGGGCATAATGCTGTGTTGCCCTTAGAAGTAACAGTGAGGTCTAGTCGATTGGCCAGACATTTGGATATCCCTATGGATGAATATGCTGAGGCCATGTTGATGAAGTTGTAAGATTTAAAGGAAAAAAGGATTGCTGCATTCAATCATTTGATAGCTTAGAAAAAGAAAGTTGAGAGGAACTATAACAAGAAGGTAAAGAGTAAAGTGTTTTCTAAAGGAGAGTTGGTTTGGAAAACTATTTTACCATTTTGTTCAAAAAGTCAAGAGTATGGTAACTGGTTACCAAATTGGGAAGGGTCATTTAAAATATATAAAGTCCTTAGAGAAGGGGCTTATCATCTTGCTTCTTTAGAGGGTGAGCCACATGGAAAGGTCATTAATGGCATGTATTTAAAGAAATACTATCCAACCATGTGGGAGTGCATGAATAAACCTGGAGCTTGTTGTTCTGGCTGATTAGAGAATGAGATGGGTTGCTGTGTTGAGCAGACAAATTTCTTTTTCTTTGAGTAGGGTGCCTGTATATATTGGGCTTGTTTTATTAAGGTTTGGGCCTAATCGTGATGTTTAGCCTTCTTTTTGCTGATGTTTGGGCTTGTTTTATTATTTGGGCTTAGTTTTAATTAGTAGGCCCTGTTTAAATGATTAAGTGTAAATACATGATATTCATTCAAAACAAAATATCCTTTCTTTTTCTTTCTTTTTTTTTTTTTTTTTTTTGAGAGGGGCATTGTTAGCACCAAAAACTATTTTTGTCTGTTGATAAACATGTCCAAACATGGAGAGATAATCCAGTATCTGGTAAGAGCAAGGACCATGACATGTGTGGGCTCTGAAATGCAGAACAAGTGACAGGGTTGAAGTAGTTAAAGGAGCAGTTTTATATGTAGTGATAGTAGAGGCAGTTTATTCTGTCGATATGCCTGAAAATGTGATAGAACATAGTCAAGTGTGGCTCAGGAGTAAAGCCATGAGTTTAGGGGTATGTTGATGCAGGATACGTGGTTTATTCACATAGATTGAATAGAAGGACAAGGCTACAACAGAGGGAGCAGTTATAGGCAGTTGTGGAGATTATTGGCAGTTATTCAAAGAAGTGGAAGTAACTTGCTTCATGATGGAACACATGGTAGCGTATGGACAGCATGACCAGTGGCATAAAGGCTGGGAATTCGAAGGAGGACAGGACAGAAAAATCAACTCACAACCTGAGAAATCTAAGAGTAGTCTAATGTATTTAGGAGTAACAGTTCTTGTAGTTAGGAGTAGCAGCAGCAGTAGCAGTTACCATTTGTAGTTTGTGTAAAGTTCTGTCTATTGTAGTGTTAAAAGACTTGCAATTTGATCATTGTGGTTAAAAAAAACAAGTTTGATTACTATCAATAAATTTCTAGTTGTATTTTACTTTGTTTCTTCAAGAAGTAAACCTTCAAAGAAGTCCTTCAACCTATCAAGGCATTAAGACACGCAACCACATTGCTTGAAGTAAACCTCCAAAGAAGTCCTTCAACCTATCAAGGCATTAAGACACACAACCACATTGCTTGATCATGTTTTTTGTGAAAATTGGTTTGTTTGTTGTCTATTTATACTGCAGTCCAAACTAGATCTTTGCTAACCGAAGAAAATGAAGAAGAACATCGAAGTACTCAAACAAAATGCCATAGAGGCTGTTGGACCAAATGGAAGCTCAATTGATAGAAAAATGCTAGGGATTCCAAATATTTTACCAAATATTCTACCAAATATCTCACATGAGTGTGAGACCCACACCATGTGGGTATTATATGAGTCTCACACCCATGTAAAATATTTAATAAAACATTTGATATTTCTAATATTACTCCAATTGAAATTTTTGAAGACTTGTCGGAGGTAATCAAAACTTGTAAGCACCCTTAATTTTACTCTTTTTAAGAGACTGGTTCTTTATGTGTTTTTTGTGCCTATTCATCTTGGGATGTGAGAGTTTTTTTTTTTTTTTGGCCTACCCTCTTGGGTTCCAGGGAGTTTTTTTTTGGTTGGCATGGCTGTGGCTCCCATACAAGAGGCGTTTTTCTTGAGCATCACGGTATATTTTTAATTTTTATTTTAGTTTTTGTTGTAAAGTACTTTGCATACACAAAAATAAATAAATAAATGAAGAATAAATATTTTCTTCGGGTATTATTTAATTTTATTTATTTATTTATTTTTTATTTTTTTGAGGAAACAATAGCAATCACCATTGCATTAAAATATTAAGTACAAAAATTATTTATAAACCGAGCCAAGTCATACGCTGACTTAATCATTGTTCGACTAACTTTCAATTACGAAAATTAAAAAACTTACTACAAGACCATTGAGGGTAACGTTTCAAATGAGTCCATTAATGCTTCAGCACGTGAAAGATATATAGATTATGAAAAATGTTTAAGACTTACAAAAAAAAAAAAAAAAATCTCTTGTGATTCACAATAATGTGTCAAAATATATGTCAATTTTTAATTTGTCATTGTTTAATTGTGTAAGACTTATTTCTCTTTCCACATCATTGTGAGTCAAATTAAAAATTCAAATTATGAGTTTGTAGTACTACCAATCAATGTAATCAATTTTGTGTACCATACTGTCCGTTTACGTATTGTTTCAGAAGAAAATAGTACCTACGTAGACCAATTTCGTTCTGCTTAAAATACCGGTAATACCAGATGGAAAACATAATACTTACTCTTTTTTTTTGTATAGTGGTTTGTAATATTAAAGTTATAGAAATTTATGTTCCTTATTCTCTTTGAAATATCTTAATTTATGTTATTTAACAGACATAATATGTTTTTAAACCTCTTTTACATATAAATTTATGATTCATGCTATGTATTGTTAAATCATTTATTAATAAATAATATTTTTAATACATATATAATATTTTTATGATAAATCTGAAACGGTATCCCGTAACATACTGATACTCATACCAATAAAATAAAAAAACGAAATCTATAAAGATCATCTTGTGCCTAGTGTAAAGTTGCTCCAACAAATAAGACAGCTATCAAACATCTTATGCTTAGTGCAAAGTTTTTGGGAGTCGGGGATGCATTTAATGAAAAAAATGATTGGCTTTTTTTCTTTCTTTTTTTTTTTATTTTAAATTTTTTATTTTTGTGTCTTTCTCTCATTTTAATATTATGTTGAAATTTGTAGAAGCATTTAACTCAAAAATAATTGGCTATCGATAGATAGAGGGAAATTCATATTTTCTCTATTATTTGATGGATAATACTATATAAATATAAATTTTAAATTTCATACACAATGATATGGTTGTTTGTGATTCTTTTTATATCTAATATAAAATTTACTATTATGTCTCATAATTGCAAGTATGTCATTATCAAATCTTTTGTGATTGCAAAATTGATATTGCTGTGGGTGCTATGAGCTTCAGTGGATGTTATTCTGAGTCTATTTTGATAATTTAAACAGTTCATATTGTAAAGTTTGTCAAACATATCATTCATGTAAAAAACCAAGTTAATAAGATATCTATAACCCCATGATCGGACTTTAATTGTTTTTAAAAACATTATCTAAATCATGTTATCTGTTTATTTATTTATATTTTCCCAAAAAAAAAAAAAAGTGGTCTTATTACATATTTCGGTTATTAACTTAATTTTTTTATGAATAATTTACTCGATGATCTTTGCAGTTTAGATTATTAAAATAAGTCTAGAATAATATCCACTAAAACAGTAATACAGTCTGTGAATACACTTTTTGTATACAAATTCTGTTTATAAATTAGTTTTCTTGTTGGATTGTACTCAAAATCTCCACAACAATGCATAAAATTACAACATGTCATGAAAATTAAAATAAAAATTTTCCACTATGATTTTGAAATTAAAATAAAGGTATATTAAGGTGTTAGCTTCTCTAGTAGTCAAACTGAATCACATTACTATATACAAAAATTCATACCAATTTTTTTATTTGTATGTTGTTATTCAACCTTATTTCGTCATCGTGGCTAGGGCTATTAAAATTCAAGGGTAAGAGTAAAAAAAAAAAAATTACAGAATTATGAAAAAGTATAATATTTTAATTATTAAAGTTTATAAATTTTATCATTAATTTATAATTTTTTTCTAAACTTAATAAAGGAAATTACAAATCAGTGGTACTTTCTCAAAATAAATATAGATTTATGAAAAAGTTTATGATTTTAATCATTACAATTTATAAAATTTATCATGAAATTGTAATTGTTTTTCAACAAGATGGCCGATTTGTTATTTCTCCTTTTTAATATGACTTTTGCTACATTAAGATCACTAAGAAAGAATAGGTTTTAGCCAAAATAAATAAATAAATAAAAGTCACAAAAAAAAAGAGTTAAAATTTTATTTTTATTTCTATTTTTTTAATGCATTTTTTCATAAAAAAAAATTTAAAAAACCATTTCCTAACGCTTTTTGTACTTTCATCTCATATTTTAACCACAATCCAAAATGAGAAAAACTAGGGATCATGAAAAAACTTTCATGAAAATGATCATGAAAAATTTATGACCCTTGGATTACTTTGATTAGTATGTAGTGCTTTATTTTAAGTGTAATCCAAAGGTCATAAATCTTTCATGATCATTTTCATAAAAGTTTTTTCATGATACCTAGCCTTGCTCATCCAAAATGCCACAAAATAAATCATTTTCCAAACCAACCCATTCTACTGTTTCCACTTCAAGAAAACAGTCTGTCTTTCTTTGACGGGAGTTGCCTTCGTGCCAACCCCCTTCCAAGTCCAACTCCCTATTCCCACATCTCACCTTGTTTTGTTCATCCTCTTTAAATACAAATACAAACACAAATCACTCTCTCCCTTTCATGCAACCAAGCAAGCCCCAAGCCACTTCCCAACCACCATTCTTATTTCCCTCTTCCTTTTAATCAAAACCCCCAAAGCCTACCACCATTCCTAACCTTAAACCAATCCAACACACAATGCCAATCACCAACTCATCACCGGAACGACATGTCGCCATCCTCGTCTTCCCATTTTCCTCCCATCCCGCCCTAATCCTCGGCCTCGTCCGCCGTCTAGCCACGGCCGCTCCCGACGTGACCTTCTCTTTTTATAGCACTGCAAAATCTATTCAGTGTTTGCTCTCATCATGGTTAATCCCTGAGAACATAAAAGCTTGCCATTTTTCGGATGGAGTACCAGATGGGTATGCGTTTGCGGGGAAGCATCAAGAGGACATTAACTTGTTTTTGAATGTTAATGTATATGCAGTACTCCTAAATATATTAGGTATTGATTTCCTAGATATATTTAGGAATATCCATAGTTAGGTTTCTAGTAGGATACTCTTTCTCAACCTATATATACATGCCTTCTATTGTATAAAATACATTCAACTCTACAATTATTCAATACAATTCATTCAATACAATACATATTATTCTCTCTCTCTCTCTACTATTCTAACATGGTATTAGAGCTATAGGTTAAGTTCTTGGTGTTCTTCGCCTTACCGACGGGTAGCAGCGTTGCCTTGGCCGCCCGTCGGACCTCAACCTATTCTGTTGTCATATTTTCCTTTCAGTATCGATTCGTGATGATCTCTTCCTCTATCCGCTGGTTTATTCTTACCCCAAAAATCTCTATCATATTTTTTTTTAATTTTTTTTATGCTTCTGCTCCACTCTGTCTTTCCCTCTGCTTCAACCTCAAATAGGTATCTATTTTCACTCCTATTTGAGTTTGAAGGGGGAGGGGGGGTATTATACCTATATAATGGTGAGCATGGTGATATACCATGTGAACCACCTAAGCCCAAACCACCACTAAGCCGTCTCATTGGCGCACCATCTAAGCCGCTTCCTTGGTGCACTCCATAAGCCGCCTCTTTTGGCGCACTCTCTAAACCGCCCCATTGGTGCATTACCTAAGCCGTCTCCTTTTACCGCACTCTTTAAGCCGTCTTCTTGGCTTACCACCAAAGTCGCCCCCTGGCGCACTATCCAAGCCATCCCCTACCGCACTCAGCTATCTGTTGCCATCATCGTTCAGCACTACGTCATTAGTTATGTGTGTGCCACGCTTATTGGTTCAACATTCAGTTCTCTACATCGGTCCGGTATGACCCCTTTAAACTGTCTCGACATCAGTTCGGCATGACCCCTTTAAACTGTTCCAACATTGATTCCGGTTAGCTCCTACATCGGTCCGGCATGACTCTTTTAAACTGTCCTGGCGTTAGTTCTAGCCAGTTCCTACAATGGTCCAACACGACCATAAACTGTCTCTCGGCGTTAGTTCCAACCAGTTTCTATATTGGTCTGGCACGACCTTAAATTGTCCTGGCGTTAGTTTCAGCTAGTTCTCACAATGGTCCAACATGACTATAAACTATTTCGCGGCTTTAGTTCTGGCCTCTGATCTATTTCAAGTACCCTTGTGCTCCTGTTCAGATTTTGTAATCTATTTGCCTTTTATTTTATTTAGTTTTATGTCATGTTTTAGTTTCTCTCTCCAAACTCAAGATGTTTATCCTCCTTGAGTTTGAGGGGGGATGTTAATATATATGTGGTATTCCTAAATATATTAGGTATTGATTTCCTAGATATATTTAGGAATAGGCATAGTTAGGTTTCTAGTAGGATACTTTTTCTCATAATTAGGTTTCTAGTAGGATACTCTTTCTCAGCCTATATATACATGCCTTCTATTGTATAGAATACATCGAACTCTACAATTATTCAATACAATTCATTCAATACAATACATATTATTCTCTCTCTCTACTATTCTAACATTGAAGGTGGCGGAGGAGAACTTTAAAAGAGCTATGGTGGTGGCGGAGGAGGAGACCGGGTGGAGAATTAGCTGCTTGGTGGCGGATGCTTTACTGTGGTTTTCGGGCGACATAGCGGAGGAGATGCGAGTTTCGTGGGTTCTACTTTGGACGTTGGCTGCATGCTCCCTGTCAACCCATTGCTACACTGATCTCATTAGGGAGACTGTTGGAATCCATGGTAAGTAGGATACTCTTTCTCATAATTAGGTTTCTAGTAGGATACTCTTTCTCAGCCTATATATACATGCCTTCTATTGTATAGAATACATCGAACTCTACAATTATTCAATACAATACATATTATTCTCTCTCTTTACTATTCTAACATTGAAGGTGGCGGAGGAGAACTTTAAAAGAGCTATGGTGGTGGCGGAGGAGGAGACCGGGCGGAGAATTAGCTGCTTGGTGGCGGATGCTTTTCTGTGGTTTTCGGGCGACATGGCGGAGGAGATGCGAGTTCCGTGGGTTCTACTTTGGACGTTGGCTGCATGCTCCCTGTCAACCCATTGCTACACTGATCTCATTAGGGAGACTGTTGGAATCCATGGTATGAAAATTAAAAGAGTAATGTTAGGGATCATGAAAAAAATGTTATGAAGATAATCATGAAAGATTTTTCACCTTTAGATTATACATACAATAAAATACCACACACTAATCAAATGATGAAAAATCTTCATGATGCATTTCATAATATTTTTTTCATGACCCGTAACATTACTCAAATTAGAATTATGACAAATTACACTAATAGTCTGTATATGGTTTTGTGTTATTTTGATCATTATAATTTTAATTGACTTGATTTTGATCATAAATTTATTGTTAATATTTTTTATGAAAAATATGTAAATAACCAATACGTACTATATTTTTAAGAATAAAATTATAAATTTATTTGATTCAGTGAATTGACTTCTGTCAATGATACTTTTTGTCAAAAATTTCAATGACTTTATCAATTAGATCAAATTGATAAAAAATCAAAAATTGAGAATTAAAATTGAGTCTATTGATAATATAAGGATAAAAAGGACAACCGTTAAATTTGTCCTTAAAATTATTACTAGATGCTAATACTTCAAATTCTCTCTCCTGTTATAAGTTTAATTATTTTAATATTTCTAAAAATAATGTCACATAAATAGAAGCTCTGTATCTTATATGTATAGCTTATTTGAAAAATTCGGTTAGGGGTACATTATTTTTTATCATATGTTTTATCGCCTATTCATATTGGGAGTGGACTGTATACTATGATGTTGAATGCAAAATTTACTTCAAAGCTTTTGGTTTGGGTGTTTTGTATTTCACTGTCTATAATATAATTCAACAGAGTTTAGTTAGTCACCAGTGGAGTTGAATATCGCCCGGTACATCACCTCACTCGTTTTCATAATTTAAACAGTTTATTTTATAAAATTATACATATATATATATATATATATATATTATTAAAACCATACTAAAAAAAATACTTAATATTTAGGATAAATTACAAACACACCACCTGAAGTTTACTTAAATTACAAATTACCTCATATAATTCTAGAAATTACATTATGCCCCCTAAAATTCTAATTTCATAATAAATATGTTCTTTTATTAATAAATCATCAAGTTAATTAACTATTTTTAATAATGTTAAAATTTTATTTCAATTACTAATTCAGATAATTTTATTATTGTATAAGTGAATAGTTAGAAATTTTATTTTTTCAAATTATTCTGTTAAATAAAAAATTCTGACATTGAGGTATTTGTAATTTTTCAAACCACAGGGGCAATTCGTATTTTAAGCAAACATCAGGGGATGTATTTGTAATTTACCCATAATTTTACTATATTTCTCTTTAAAAAAATAATATCTATAATTTTATAGAAATGGATCATTCATTTTTTTAACACAAATTTAATAAAATTATATAGTTATTATTATCGGATCAATATAATTTTTTGTCTGGATAATCTATACATAAAATTTGAAAAAAATGAACGGATCAAATCGTCGAAACAGACCTATGATAAGCCCATGATGCCAACAATACCCTTCAGTCTAAATCTTTTCTGTTTAAATAGTAGATTGAGAGTCTTTATATGATTTTGGACTAAAATACAAATTGCTAAGATTAAACTATTATTTTGTTTCTTGATACTCTTATGTACTCTCCCTCCTATGTTAATACTCTTTCTTTGTTAAAGTTTCACCTAATTTCAAATCACTACAAGAAATAACACTTTTGCCGATCAAAAAATTGGTCGCTAAAATCCCATTTTTAGTCGGCAAAAATTATTTGCGATCAATTTTTATGGTCGCTACTTTGGTCGCTAATTGAGGGTCGGCAAAAGTAATTCGCGACCAAAATTTTTGTTGGTCGAGAAAAGTTGGATTTGCCGACTAAATTTTTGGTCGCTAAATATATCATTACTGTGACTAATCTATTTTGTCGCAAAAACACTTTGGTCGCGGAAAGTGATATTTTTCCGACCAAATATCTTAGTCGCCAATTGTCACATTCCATGACCAAACAGATTAGTCGCTAGAAGTCGAGGAATCGCCGACTAACAATTTAGTCGCCAAAAAATAAGGAATTGCTGACCAATGATTTTAGTCGCAAAGGTGTAGAATTTGCTGACCAATTTTTTAGTCGCCAAATGTAGACACCCAATTTTTGACCGTCCTCAAGACTTGGACGGCACCATTTGAACACTAGGTGATCATCCATGTTCGTGTTCGTCTTGAGTTCTCGGAGGTTTCGGTCGCGCGCCTTGCCTCAAGATCTCTCGACTTATTTGTTTTGTACTTGGTTAGACCAAGGACTTATGGTCTTTGCACCTGAGGGCGGAAAATGGCTTGTTGGCTATCCCCACACATCATCGGCCATGGCCTGAGGCCACCGGCCCTGTTTTATTGTTACCAGCCAAAAGTGATGACCGGTCGGCAATGTATTTAGTCGGCCGGCCCTTTGTGTTGGTCGATCGGCCTTTTCTGCTGGTCGAACCCTGTTCATCTGCTTTATGCAGATATTTAGTGCCAGGTGGCATAGACCCTGCCCTCCATACGTGTATGGAGGATTTGCACCCTTTGTTTTAGCTTCTTGAGGAAGTTTGAATCATTTGAACCCTTATTTTAAGCTTTTTGAGGAAGCTTGAACATTTGGAACATTTGTTTTAGCTTCTTGAGGAAACTTGAACTGTTTGAACGTTTTTAGCTTCTCCAAGAAAATTGAACCTCTTTAGCTTCTCCAAGAAGCTTGAACCTCTTTAGTTTCTTGAAGAAGCTTGAACCTCTTTAGCTTCTCCAAGAAGCTTGAACCTCTTTAGCTTCTTGAAGAAGCTTGAACCCTCTTGTTTCTCTATAAGAGAGGGCCTCCCTCTCCTTTAGAGAGGTTCCAAAAATTTGTTTAAGGCAAGAAGCATATATCTCTTTTTGTCTCCATAATTTAGGCTTAGAAAGTGTTTGTTCTTGGCCTTTAGCACCACACCTCATAGCCATACACCTCCACCATTGACCTAAGGTTCTTGGAGGGTCTTGAGAGGTCTCAAAGAGCAGGTTTTTGATCCAAGAAGCTGCTGGTCTTGTTGAGCTTCAAAGGTAATCTCTTTTCCCTCTTTATTCACCATTTTTGCACAAGCTTTTATCCTATCTTGCATGTTGTTTTGAGCTTAGTGTATAACTGATAAAAGTTCTTTTTTTGCATGCTTTTGAAGTTTGTTTAAGATCACTTTTATGTTTGGGGTTGTTTCCCCCCTCTTAGGCCTTGTTTGTGCTCATTTTTGTGAGCTTCGGGACCACCTTGTATTGGCCTTCTCACCACTGAAATCTAGAGGGATTTCAGTGGTGGGGATGGTGTTTTGAGGTCCTAAGAAGGAGAGGGCCATCCCCTCTCCTTGTTGTCTTCAATACTTGTCATATTTGCCTCATATGTGAGCACCTTTGTTAAGTTCATGTTGGCCATGTCTTAGCTGGTATTTGTGGTTATTTTTCTGGCATATGCCACTGTTTTTGCCTATCTTGGTCAATCCATGCTTGGTTTATACACTTGTAGTGTAAATTTTGTAAACTAGTATTGTTTGCTTCATGTTTGAGCATGTCCTTCTAGCTCATGTTGGCCTCATTTCAGTGGATTTTTGGTCATATTTTGGTATGCCATGAATATGTTTTTGGCTGGTTTGGTGGTCCCTCACATGCTTCATAGGCTTGTAGTGTAACTCATGCTTACTAGCTTACATTGCATGTTGTTTTGGCCCTCCATTCTAGCACATTTTGACCTTGCTCTAAACTGATTTTGTTCATGATTTGGGCTGCCTCAGCTCTGTTTTGTGGCCTCATGGTCAAAAAATGCTTGCCATGCATACTTGTTGTGTAATAGCATTGACTAGCTTTGAGTTTTGAGCACTCTTACATGCCTAACTTGAAGTATTTGCATGTGTTGGCATCATTGAGGATGATATTTCAGAGCTTATAGGGGTGCTACACTTCCATATTTTCCATGTTTTAAGTGCTCCTTAGAGTTGTGCTTGTATGCCCCATTTATGAGCCATTGCATGAGCTTCATGTACATGCATTCCGAGCCACCATCCCAACACATTTTGCCATTGATTTTGGTCTGCATAGGGACTGTTCGGGGTTGGTTTCATCATTTGAGCATCGCTTTGCATGTCTATAGTGCATTGCATTTCACTAGCTTCGGTGCTTAAGTATTTAACAATGCATTGCATGAGTGTTTGCATGCTTCGAAGTCATTTTTGGAGTCATTTAGTATGCCATTTCAGAGCTGGAATGTATGCCATTGTATGTCATGTTTCATCCTTGCATTGCTCTTGGAGAGTTGCATTTTGTGCCTTAGGCTTGGACCCCTTGCATTGTGCATGTTTGCATGAATCTTGGGCCTTGTTCTCATCTCATTTGGCCACTGATTTTGGCATGCTTGAGAGCTACCCATGTTAGTGTAAATCCATCTCACCATGTTGTTGCATGCTTGTTTCATTTTGCATGTTGTTGCATGCTATACATGTCCACATGTTTAGGTTGTATACCTATTGCATATTGCATGTTAACATGCTCATGTTGCATTAGATTTGTTGCACACTTGAGTTATTTGCATGCTTGCTTGCTTGCCTAGGTTGCATTGCATTGTGTGTGCATCTCTTACCTCTTGATCAATCATGATAGAGGTTGGGGCCCTTTATGTGTTTTGTGCATTTCATTCTATATTGAGTTGCACACTTGGATTCTTTGGCCATCATGCATTGAAATGTGTGATTGATGGTCCGAGAGTCGAAAACCATACTCCTTTGAGTCTTAAACATGATAAGGAGAGTGGTTGTGCAAACATTGCTTTGAAAATGCATTGCCATGCTCTGTTTGCCTTCTGCTGTAGCAAAACATGATTCTGCAGGAAGAGATGGCCGGTTGGCCATCTTCAGTGCTGGCCGGCTATGCATTGTTGGCCGAGAGCCTCACACATGGTCGATGACCAGTTTTCCATGGTCGGTGGCCTTGCCTTTTGGCCGGTGACCTTCTACAGTGCTCAGAAAGTGGTTCAGAAACATCCTGGAGA